CATTCGCTGGCGTCGAAACGAACGCAGTCCTATCAGCGCTTGTCGATTAAGGAGTGGATCCGCCCTACACAAGAACTTTATCAGATTGCTACAGGAACTGTACCACAGAAACGCAGCTCTTTCATCGACCTCTTACCATACCAATTTTTAGGGATTGCATAAGGCGATACTATAAGGTCAAAGCTGTTCACCGCCGCACTACAATTGATAATGAAGTTGCTTGATTGGGACGAGAAGGGCTTACGCATCGATGGAGAAATCTTGCCAAACCTTCGTTTTGCGGATGACATTGTCTTATTCTCGACCAGCACTACTGAAGCAGAGACAATGCTCAAGGAACTTAACAAAGCGGGAAAGAAGATCGGACTACGCATAATTCGCATGAAGACCCAGTTTATGAAAACAATGGTGCAATGATAAACATTTCGAACTGGATAGTACTCCGTTTACGGCGATTTCCTCGTACGTGTACCTTGGTCGTTCACTGAATAGAGAACAATATAGAGGAGGAAATTGACAGAAGAAGGAAAGCAGCGTGGGCCGCATTTGGGCCTCACAAAGAAGACACTGACTAAATAAAGGAATCCAAACTATGCGCTAACCTCTTCGATTCAGCAGTCCTTCCAGAGCCTTGTTATGCAGCGGAGACGTTGGCTGATACTTCGAGCACGTCAAGACTACTGCGAACGGCTCACAGGGTGCTGGAACGATGTCTTCTGAAAATTGATCGGCACTCACAACACGTAGCCGGCTTGCTCTGCTCAGATCTCAGAAATTATCTCATCTATATGATCGAGAAGAATTCACATTGATAGCGAAGCACAGATGGACTAGTCACATAGTAAGAAGTTCAGGTGACCACGATGATCAGATGACGAGATGGACGAAAAGAATTGTAGAATGGAAGCCACGAAGAGTACACCTCTCCCTGAGGACGACCACCTACACGTTGGGCAGACGTATTCACTAAAAGAATTGATCAGCTGTATTCATATACTATTCGTATCAGCTGTATTCGTACAGGCCGATATTCTGCAGGTTGCGGTATGAAACCCTTGCCAGTGGCCATGCTCGTATGAAACCACCAACCCCATGAAAGACAATCGCGAGAAGACGGGATGAATGGAAGATGTGCTGAGGTCAGCACAATTAGTGAAGACCGACAGTCCAAGTCCAAGTCCACGTCCAGTTTTTTTTTTTAAATAAAGACCATCAGTATTTACAATCTTTTGCCAACTTCACACCCGACGTCATGATACGTACGCAAGTAATCGACCGCTCAACGAGTTCTGCAACAGCTGACGGCAAGCTTCATCGCGGTAATTGCTTGAGCTTCAATCAATTCGTGCGGATCTTGGCAAGAATTCTTGTGGCCGAAGTCAAGTTATTGGAGGCAATTTCAGGCCTTCTCCTGGTCGACGCTGAGTTCTGTTACAAATCACGAGTGTCTGATGACGGTTCCATATCCAAGCTGCTTGCAGATCTTCATCGTCCAATTTCAATGACCGGCCGCAACGGGCTTAGTGTTGGAGGCTGAGATCACTACTTTCAAATGATTTGTACCACTTTTCAGCACTCACATGGCTCACAATTCCTTCACCTTTGGCACCACAGATCTCCTTCGCAGCATCTCTTGTCGAAAGTTGCAGCTTTCATTAACAGCGTCTCAAAACTTGAAGCTCAAATTTGACCACTGTCATCATTTTATGTCCGAGGAGTAATTTAAAAGTTCATGCACTATAACAAGCGTTGCAGTAGGAGTTTCTTATAGAAATATTTCTGAGATGTTCCGTGGATTTGCAGCAACGAATACTGTATGAAACAGATATGAAATTTGATATGTTCGCCGATGTGAAAGGAACTTTTTCCTCCACCTAATAATTCACCTTAGGCAAATATATATCAGCTCATGAAAAATCTTACTGGTTGGGATTGAACTCGGAAATCTAAACATTATTGTTGTTAAGCCAGTGTTCCTTACAAGTAACGAACGGTGCGCATTCTGCGCAATCATAGCGGCCCCGAGTGGTGATATCATTTATATAGAGATAAATTTAATTCTGTAGGTTTTTCTCACGCTCAGAATCGTTTCTTGCATAACTCATTGATTGTTCAACATTAATGTTGCAACAGACGTTTAACAAGGAAAACGTTATTATACATTACTTGGAAATGTTTTATCCTCTATTCATTATATTACTGTCACACTTTTCCATTTCACACCGACTTCCGACAAATCAGGTCCAACACCTAGAGGGATATATATACTCACTGTAATGGTATGAATAATTGTTTTGGAATATGGAGGAAATCTTCAGTGCGTAGAGCGAATTCAGGAGCTGAAGTAGCGGTATGAGCCTTTTTCATTTTTATGAATCAGTTTTAAATAGTATCAATCTCAGCATTTGTTGTTCGATTACTAGAAGTGCTAGGATCCGCACAATGGCTGTGTTTGTGAGTCATAAAAAGGAGAAAGAATAAAGCTCTCGGCGTTGAACAATCACTGAAGGATGCGACATGCATTCGTCTTTGATGTCACTTCGTCAGAGGTGATTGAATGCATATCTGGCCTTTACAATGACTCGCAATGGCCTCCCGCTGTACCGGGTCAGTGCTGCATATTCCCCAGACCGGTCTGAGATTTGTCTGGTGTTAATTTACCGACTCCGGAAAGATAGATGGCTTAATGAGCCATGAGCGTGAGATCGAATCCATGACCTCGTGTGCGACGCAAAGCACTTCTAACCAGTTCGCCACACGAGCCCTTTGATGTGTCATACAGCAAGGAAATTCATGACAAACAACTGTTTTTTCGCACATTCTTTTGAATGGTGGTGCCTCGATTTCACGGGAAGCAATTTGTTTGCTAATGATACTAGTATATGGAGATATGGGCGTAGTTTATTCAATTCATATGAATTTTGCTCATCAAGTTGGATGTTTTCATAATTACGAAGCAATTAATTCGGGACACCTCTCAACGACTTTTCTCGTTCCTATCTTCTTTCTCTCTCTAATCACTATTTTTGCTTCCGAAAAACTGAATGATACGCAAAAAGCACAAACGTAATATTACTTTCGAACGCTCTCGCGGAGTTCTTGATGCGGTTATGCCGTTCCCATCTAACTTGTGAAAGTGCGCGCTAAGCTGACTTATAACTAAATGCAGTACAAAAGTAACTTCATAGAACTCTTAAGATGCAACGAATGGCACCTGTACTACAGACTGGACAGGTACGGTAATTATGATGTTAAAACTATTTTCAACCCTCTCAAGCCCTGTTTATTTCCTTCTCCCATTTTCTCAGTCGAATAGGAGAACGATAATCTCAAATAAATTAGCCTTATCGATTACTTATATTCGTTCGCGAATCAATAGTCATTCCAATACGGCTATGTGATTGGACAGTATATAATAGGTCAACCTTGATTATTCTAAAAGAGAGAACGGTATAAATCTCAAAGACATGACTTGAGGTGGGTATTTGTACATAAAAACGTGTTTTGATGCAAATATAGCTGCAAATTTTATGAAAGCCTCATGGTAATAACGTGAGAGATAAAGGACATTGGCCCAAGAGCGAGTCAGAAATCATATTAGTGAGGCATGAAGGACAGAGTTATTCATAATCAATCGCTTTAGCGGTGGCAAGATTTCATGAATATACCCAGTCAATAAAGTGATGTGCAAAACTTCAGCGGGACTAGAACCCACATCTCACTACATCCGAGAGCGTGTGCTCTAACCCGTCCCACTACTATCGCTCATTTTGCACACCACTCTTTTTACGCTACAGCGCATCTATCTGTCAGCCGCTAGTCGTCTACGGCCTGGCCCGGGTAGTCGATATCGATATTTAACCCAGCCACGCTGACAGATATTGGGTATGATGATCAAACGGAATTATCAAACGGAGTGGTGTGTAAAATGGGCGTCAGTAATGCAACGGGTTAGAGCACGCGCTACCAGATAGAGTGAGATGCGGGTTCGAGTCCCACCTGACGCGAAAGTTTTGCATATCACTCTACATCGCTGGGCACAAAGGACAATTATAAGACCTAAGTCATATCAACCTAGCTATTTAAGGAACAAGAGCACACAAACTATAACTTATAAAAATTGCAAGTACGTATCCAAAAAGATTATCAAGCAAATCAAGTCAACATCGGCTTCTTGTAGTCAACTCCTACTTTGCACATTATTGAAAAGGAATAAAAATATGCCATCATGTCCCGTTACTAGTTTATTTGCAGCAGTAGGTGAATATATTGGGTGGCTTGAAACGCCTCTGAATTCTCCAATATATTAAGCAATAGCGGCATGAGATACTGGCGTTGCATGTTGACGTTGGAATGGCGAAACTCTGAAAGAAAAATCTGTTACACCTCACAATTATGGCATTGAGCTCTCAATTCAAGCCACATGTCACAAGCATTTGTCATTAGAACAGTTCATTATTCAAACGGTGGTGTGATCTTATAGATATACGCAGTGATGTAGTGTGATATGCAAAACTTTCGCGTCAGGCGGGGCTCGAATCCATATTCCACTCTATGCGGAAGCGCATGCTGTAACCCGTTGCACTACTGACGCCCGTTTTTTCCACCACTCTTTCTACGCTGCAGCGCATTTATCTGTCAGAAATTAATCGTCACCTCAAATAAAAAGAATTCTATTCGATCATTCAAAACCCAATATCTCCCAACGTGACTGGGTTCAATGTTGATACCGATTAGATAAGCCAAAGCGTCGACGGTTGGTTGTTTACAAATAGATGCGTTGTAGTGTAGGAAGAGTGGTAGCAAAACGGACGTCTAGTGCAACGCTTAGAGCGCGCGCTCCCGGATAGAGTGAGATGCAGGTTGTTCGAGTCCCACATGACGCAAAAAATTTTCTTGTTTTAGTAATTAAATTCTATAAAATAGCCAGAAGTCAGTATTACCACTGAGAATCAGAAGAATAATTAGTTCTTAGAGAATTGAGTGGTGAGCAAAAACACGGCCTCAGGCGGGAATCAAACCCGTGTTTTGTCCTATCCGGGTACTCGTGTTCTACCCACTACACCACCGAGGCACATTTGCGCGGCCACTCATTCTTCAACATCTCTATGTTGGCTATCAGCCACAAACCTTCAACAGGTTTGGATTAAACGTTTTGGTTCTCTAACGCGTCCCCCGATAGGACGAAATGCGCGTTCGATTCCCGCTTGAGGTCGTACTTTTGCTCACTACTCAATTCTCTAAGATATATAAGTAACATCATAATACTGCAAAATAAGCAGTAGAAATACTATAATTTAGAAGTATTATATATAGCAATAGCTGTCAGCTTAACGGGATTTATAAAGCGAAATCTCATATCCGACCAATCTGTTAAAGGTTGGTAGCTGATAGTTAACATAGAGATGTTGAAGAATGAGTGGTCGGGCAATTGTGCCTCGGTGGTGTAGTGGTTAGAGCACGAGTACCCGAATAGGACGAAATGCGCGTTCGATTCCCGCCTGAGGCCGTATTTTTGCTCACCACTCACTTCTCTAAGATATATAAGTAACATCACAGCAATGCGAAATAAGCAGTAGAATTACTATAATTTCGAAATAAATAGTTCGCCAAAACTGTGCTGAGCGCAACATGCAATGGCAGCGCATGAATAACTCTCACCAATTTTTCGATATTTCTGTTTTATGTACTCGGAAGTAAGCGCCCCTATAGTGATAAAGAAAAGACTTCTTTGTAGCTCTAAATGGATAAATTTCTTTCTATTATTTATCTTATCTCAAGGTGTGAACATTATTCATCGTAGAGGTTTTTGTTACAGAGCATGGGCATTTTTATCTGCTCTACTTACCTTTTGCTAGTTGGATGTGTATGTTATAATCTCCCGCATCTTATCGCTTTCAAACTCTGCAGATGATTTTAATGCCACCGCATGCAAGTGGCTTTGGAGGTCTATCACTACACTAGAAACTTCCTGGTCCGCCACTTGTTTCCGATAATTATCCTTCACCACTTACATCAAGCAGTTACATGCAAGAAGGGTCAATTTTTTTTTTTGTTGACAATGTAAAGCTGCTGATCGTAAAAGCTGGGAGGTATCGTATTCTCTAATAGATATTCCAAGTGAGAGGTTTTGTCATGTTTCCACATGGGAGCTCTGAAAAACCTTTTCGACCTCTTTCTGAAAACAGTGAGGATGAGGAGATCGGTGACGAAGCCGATAAAAGCCTTCAAAATAAGGGACTCAACAGAGATACTCGCACTGGGAATATTAAGTTGAACGATGAGTAATCTTATGGTTATAAAGATGAAGACATAATCGGGCGAGAGCTTAACGAAGGTGTTGCAGCTCAAGACCTTAGCTTCCATCAAGCAAAGGAAGGTGCTCAAGGCGACATAATGCTTAGGTGTATGAAGTCAGCCAACTTATACGAACTATTAATGGCCAGTGGTTGAGAAATGGTTGTAAGATAGGCAACTATCTATGGCGAGCAGAGAAATACCGAGCGGAAAATCATAATTCCCATCGTCGAAAAGTTGAAGAATTGTGCCCTCAAAAGAGTCCGTCATCTCTCAAGTCTAGAACAGTACTGGAATAGAGTTCAGCACTTGGAAACTCCCGTTTGGTGTCTCGCATCATACCAAGGGACAGATTCCTTCTTTTTCGATAATCATGAGTCATTTCATATTTGGACGGAAATTCGAGGTGAGACAGCAAGGAACCAACAGGACCATCCGACATAGTCACTGCGCTCTACAGGCGGAATATCATACTGTTCATTGTTACAAGCGATGATGAAGTGAAGTTTTAGGAAGTAAGAAGTGCTATTTGTTATAGGTCTCACCGGTTCCTGTGCTGCTTATCCTCCCAGACAAGTCTGAGATCAGTCTGGTGCGAATTAACCGACCCCGGAAAGATGGTTGGCTTGGTGAGCCATGAGCGCGAGGTCGAACTATTAACCTCGTGTGCGACGCAGAGCACCTCTAACTATTGCGCCACATGTGCTTTCTATACGTATGTACCTGATAAATATCATTTGAGACCACACAGGTCTGTTTATGGGCACTTTTTCCAAGACTGGCGAGGCTGCCAAGACTAAAGCACGTGTATCGGGCTGTTCAAAAGCCCATTGACATACCACATGACATGTTGACTCAAATAATAGTTATCAGATATATTGAAATTTGAGCGTGCTCTTGAGAAAACACTCGAACCGAACTATACAGTCTATGCACATATCTGTTTGCTTGCTCACTTATTCATTTATTTATTAAATTTTTTGCAACCCGCCATCACAGTGTACTGTGCGAATGCCAAAATTTCTTGCATTCCATTTGTTTCCTCGCCTTCATCCACCACAAAAATCTTTGGAGATGCTGCTTTAAGATTTTGACTTCTTTATGAATATCATAGAATGTTCATCAAAATGATTCACCCTGTAATCCTGTAGGAAGTCTGACTAAAATGTTCCCTAAGATAATCAGCCGAGTGATTTCATGAGAATGGTGGAAATGAGATAAACCAGCACACCGTTAATCACCTCACTCTCTGACATACTGGTTCACCAACCAATGCATTGCTCCAATATATATATATATATATATATATATATATATATATATATATATAAACTAAAACTGTCTATAAACTAAACTGAGTTGTCTATAACCTCTTTATATATATATATATATATATATATATATATATTCTTTCTGAATTGGCGGAAACAAATGATAACCGATTCCATTCGCTAGAGAGGAGATTTTCATAACAGTTTTAGTAGTCATTTGTAAGCTGACACTTCAGACTACAGTCCCACGTCGCCGGTTTTTGAAAAAGCCTTTTCCTAACGTTGCTACAGGAGAGGATTTTTTGCTTTGCAAATGTGCATATTTCCTGGCCGAACAGAGCTCTTTCTTCGGATTATTAGTAGTCATTTGATGGTTAATCGTTTCTGATTTCAACGCTGCGCTGCCCTGACCTAAAAAGACTGTTTCTCTGAAATGCAGCAGGTAAAAGAAGTTGTATTCACATCTGCAATCAAAGGAATTTTTGACCATTCTATGGGGTGGTGAGGGCGGGATGAGGGCGATGTGGCCGTTTTCACACCACCATAAATCGACTCGAGCTTTGGTTGTTGCATATCTCCCTGCTACACTGTGCGGAAATGGTCTCTCCAGAAAATAAGCAAAGCGTTCGGATGAGTGAAACCTACGCTACCGAATGATTACTGGTAGTCTGGGGGAAAAGCCTGTCTGGCGAAGTGTAAGGTACTAATCTTTTCTTTCTCCTAGAGTTTTATCAAGAAAACTTTTCTTGAAAAAAAACAAACAGATTTCTTAGTTCTTCAGAAGTTGTGCTATCGGGAGAGTACTAGCATCCTAAGGACGGAGTTAGGTATAGCGAAATATAAGCGAAATAAGAAAAAAACACCTTTCCGTAAACTCGAGCAAATACTGATGTCACTTGTGTAAGGTAATAGATTGTCTATGAATGAGAGAAAAAAGTGATTTCATATAAAGTTTACAGTACTTGCTGGCTTCAGTGCTTTTCCTACTTAATGGTGTAATTATGTCAAAGTGGTATTTTTGATTCAAAACAAAAATAGGCTAGAGTGAATCTCTTCAATTAGCAGGGAAGTAGATTTGCAAGCGGAGGCGACTGCATTTCAACGGCAACTGCTATGATGAACTCTCATTACGAGGTGATACCTTTGGTGTTAACATTTTTCTGATGCTTTGCTATTAATACTAAGATGTATTGGCCTGATTGATTTGCAATCAATCCACGGCTTATGAAGTGTGATTTAAAATGCCAACTGGCCTAGAAAAGCTGTTCTCTCATCGATTCTCAGCTTCATTATTGCAAGACACCGTGTGACTCAGAAGAACATCTCAAACTTTGCGAAAGCACCAGCGTAATCAAACTACCGCTCAATTTTTGAGCACTACAACATGAAACTCTGCGCACCAGAGCACGAATTGAGAATATGTGACTATAGACGAGAACTCGTCGTAAGAGTGTTGAACTTTGGCAATGTACGCTAAAAAAACACCCCTGAGAAAAGAGGTGAACTAACAAACGACGAAACTGGCTCCAATGTTCCCCAGGTGTTTCAGCCCTAGAGTTACTTACCCTAACTGCCCAAATCTCGTTGCGACTGGCTGTCGTTGACTGATCTGAAATAAACACAAAGTCACCCTTCCTCACTGCTCATACAATGCCCCGTAATTTGTTTTATTACCCAAAGA